CTTGTTGTCCAATAGCAGCTTCATGTACATGTTTAGAGTTAAGTATGTATGTACATATGTATGTTTATAAATGATTTCATATAAAATATAATTTAGATCCAGTAGGTGTTAAGATCACATCAATCCCAAAAGTAAAAAAACGCATTATTTGAGCTACAGTTTCAATCAAAATAATTTGCTTAATTGTTATAATTTTAATAAACTACATTTTCTGTAGCATTGACTGTAAATAAATAGGCTTAAATGGGCACTTAAAGAGCCTGCGGGCACTGAATTTTATAATAAGTATGTATTTGTTTAACTAATTATTGGCTATTATGAATATATTTGTATCTAAGTATGTATTTTATAGAGGGGCTTCCGGCCCATTGATTGTCATTGAGGTCAGTAAACAAAGATGCTCAGAGGAGGCTTGCCAAAATCGTTGACAATAAAGCACAGTAATAGAACGGAACACCTAGCGTAGCGCTTAAGGTAGCTCAGAACGAAGGTACATCCTTGGATAGGAAAGAGGCAACGGCTTGTTTCTCTTCTGAAGTCGTCTAGTTAAACCTCTTGATTAACCAGCATACAACTCGACGAACTGAAAGAAAATCAAGGCAGCGCTCCAAGGTTCGGACATGCTGGCACCTTTTCATAATATAAAAATTGAAGAGAGCGTACTCCTCTATAACCTGGATAATTCACTTAAGATATACATGGTGTCAAACGGCGACCATCTGGGATTAATTCTAGTTCAGGCATCATAGAACGCAATGTACGACAGTGTTTTTTCAAGCGTAATATAGCTGAAATAGTAGCGGAAGCGAAAAGACTAGAGCTCATTGAAGTAATCTTTAACGATAAGATAAGGAGAGTTAAGTTAGAAATCGGCGCACTAAAGCATGAAGCTGAAGTTTGCCATTTGGAAGATTGAAATGGTATTACTAAGCTCTAAACAGGCTCCAAATACTAACTTGGCAGTAAGGGAAAAGAACATAACATGGGATTGCCCACCGACTCTAAGCTGAAATTTAAGGAACGCTAAGAGGAAAGTGAGCGAAGATAAATGGAGCTTTATCGCACGTAATGACAAGCGTAATGGACCAACGCGAAATCAGATTATAGTTACTATTAAATGAAAAAAGTCCAGTTTTTTACATGCAGCTCCACTGGGGTCAGTGGGATCAGGTGCAAAAAACGTCATACATTAAAAGTGTAGCAACTATTTATGTACATCTGGGTATATCACTATTCATAAAACAAAAATCGGTACTGTTTTAGATAGGAATTATGAAGTATATTATATTTTAATACTTACACCAAAATATTTTGGGACAAGTAATTTTTAATCGGAAAACACAGTCGACTTCAATCCTCAGGTAAAAATTTTGGAGTACCGTTGATTTCTTTATAATCCAATGATTGGATCTAAATGAATTAGTATGGGACCACCGTTCATATACCACCTTTCCGATAAAAAAGAAGTACTTATGCAGTGACATACAAAAAAAATGGTTACGAATTGATAACCTCCTCGTATTTTTTGAAGTCTGTTAAAATTATTACGATTTACGTAAGCGAGACTGATTTGGAAATACCTCCAAAACTGGAGTTTTTTATTAATAAACTTAGTTTTAAATTTTTTTATTGTCGAATAAATCACCTCAGATAATAGAAGAGCCTAAGCTTAAAGGATCTGCATAAAAATGTTTAAAAATCATATCAAAATAATGAGTTTTTTTGTAGGTATTTTCAAATCGGTTCAGCTTACGTAAATTTTAATATTTTCGGCCAAGGCCTTAAATTTAATTTAAGTTATGTACATTAGCGTGTCTCACCAAAGAAATGCGGTTTTCCACCCGAATAATAAAATGTATTTTAATCAAATAGTTTCCGGCGGGAAACTGGATTTTTTTTTGTAAGACACTCTTATGTACATAACCCAACCTTTCTGCCAATATTTACGGCAGATCATAAAGTATCGGGAATCATAGTAGAGCATACATAACAGCGGCAGCGTTTAATCACTTTCTGTTTCCCGTGAAGAAATGGCCAACAACTATCCGGAGGGTGGTGCGGTAACCAAAAATCCCAGAAAAAAAATTTATTTACATTGTGGGTGTTCACACCTGTCTAGTTATATGGTTATCTGGTTATGTGATTATATTTTTTATTCGGCTAACAACAATAAATTACACTATCAAATAATAATTTTTAACCAGATAACCTGTAAACCAAGCAAGTATGAGCACCCATTGTTAATGTCTGGTTAAGTTGGGTCATATTGAATAAGATTTTAATCGGTTGGGTTACAGTAGGTGAGGTTAGATAAGAAAGAAAAAATTTATGAGTGCCAAAACTAAGAAAATTATGAATATGAATAAAACAAATTATTTTGGATTTCTATTTATTTATTTTTGTGAAGTTAGGTCAGTTACCCAAAATTTTAAATATAAGTACTAGAAATATATGTAAGTGTACATACATATACGCATGTATTTAAGTGTGTATCTTTTTGTTAAAGATGCATATAAAATGAAGCCACTTTTCCAATCAAGTGGCCAAAAAACAACCACAAAATAAAAATGTGTGCAAAAACACGTGCCTAAGAATTGAAATAGCTGGCATTGATGGTCAAGTTGAAGTTGAAATGGAATTTAAAGAAAAAAAGACCGGAAGAGGTCAAAGACTGATCACACAAATAAAAAAAAAAAACTAGCTACATGCACATACACTTGTTTTCTCACATTTTTACTTGGCTTAATACTTATATTAGCACATTAATATGCATATGCACGTGTATAAATGTGTTTGTATGACTTAATGTACATATATGCACTATGAGAAATGTTAAAGCATGGTTGGTCATCGTTGAAAAATTTTAATTATCTGCCCACATTACGCAGGCCTTATTGAACTTGTAGGCTTGAATGAATGACCTTGCAGATTTATTATTTGGATTCTACATACCAAAATTGCTTATTCATTGCACAGCAGGGCAGCGAATTTGCAGATGTTGCACAGTTGTAGATAACGAAATTATTTATTAACTTCTAAGCAGACTAAAAAATTACAAAAATTACAATTTTTCATAAACTAAGTAAGCCTTTACATGATGTCTGAAGGTCAATTTGAACATACGAAGCATCAACTACTTTAGTAAAAGAAAAGATTTGAGATAACCTAAAGATTATTCAATTTAAAGAATTCAGGACCGAGTTTCAGATTTTTTGAAAAGTTGCTTGGGGATGAAGAATTACTTACAGGTCAGTAGTTGATGTTGTAGCGGAAGGCCCAGACAGCGTGCTACTCAAACAGTGTAGGACCAGAGGGAGTGTGGCGTTAGTCCAATTGCGTTTCGCGGGCATATGAAGAGATATTTACTAGTAATGCGGAGACTCTCCTCCTGCTGCCGCACATACATTAAGTACATCAGAATTTATTCTGATCAGGTATGAGTTAAGTATATTGCAGTAGTCAGAACGAAGTTGAGCGATTGTGGTGCGGGTGTGCCGTGGCAATTGAAGCTCTATCTCGTCAACGGTAGGTGGTAGTTTTTCTAAAATGGGCGTCACAGAACAGGAGTTGGTGCAGTTTCAGACAGACTTCCTGTGAATGACGTTTATGACCTATATGTACAGAGTCGCGTACAGTGGTTGGTCTATGACCATCTGGACCTCGTCCTTCATTTCGTAGAGATGCATTGTAATGTGTCTTGCAGAGCCCTCGCTCGGGTGCTCACATCTGTGCATAGTTACAACCGACCGGCCAATTGTCTTGTACATATGTTACCAACAAAGCTGCTTGGACTTTGCTCCAAGTGCTGCCGGCTAGCGATTTGAGGACTTTGTTGCGGCTCGGTACTTTATTGACAATTTCGACTGTATGCAAAGAGAAAGATAATAGGCTGTAGAAGTTACTTGCGAGTATTTTTGGTTTGTTCACAGTCAGAATTTTTTCATCATGGCGTGTAGCTTGAGCTCCTTCGTACATCTGGTAAATAGAATTGCTGAGGTTTTCGTAGGGGAGAGGCTTAGGTTCTTTGCAGTGAAGAATTGAGAAATTTTGGAAAGGTAAACTTTGAACACAAGTCATCAGTTCCATTTCCGGACGCCATTGTCGAGCAATACTCAGCGTATGAGATGATGAAGACTTACAGGTTAGTTATAACCAGGGCTGCGGTCATCACTGGTGGAAATAAAACTCTGTACCATTACGTTGTGCTGTCTATAAGAATGGATTAAATCCCGAGTACGTTTCTGCGGTACTACCCAAATTACTCACCCAGCCGAAAAAAATGCTATTGCGTAGGTCGGCGGTTTGCTGACTAATTACCAACTGGCTTTAATAAATCACTCTGTCCATTGTCAGCAACAATGTGTCAACAACAACGATGATGCATTTCTAAACTTGCATTTCAACAAACAAAAAATTATTTAAAAAAATATAAAAAATAAAAAAGATATTAAAAATTTCAGAAGTTGAATGCGACAACCCCGCAGGTGTCAAAAATAGTAAAGTTCCATGTGCAAATTTGCGAATATTCGCTGTAAACATAAAATTAATATTCATCACCGTTCGCCTTTGAGGATGTTGCCGAATTCGGCTTGTGATTTGTGTGCTCTTCGTTGCCTCTTTTTTGTGTTTTTTGGTACAACTTGTAATAATTTTCGCTTCACGTCCTAATGTTTTTTTTTTGTTTTGTTGCGTTTGCATGCGTGTAAAATATTTTAATTTGCGCATGCGTGAATCCCACCCTTTTATTATTATATGTTTACATCGGTAACATAGCAGAGAACACTATGCATAGCACCTTAGCACAGTTTAGTGCACTCGCTTAGGACGTGACTACAATTTTAATCAATGCAGTCGAATAATTTTTGCTAACTTTATTACTTTTATAATTTTACATTGAATATTTTTTTTACATACGTACATATGTATGTATGTATGTGAAGTTCATACGGATTTCTTTTGGTATAAAACTGTTGTTTCTTTTGGTGAATGAAATCAGTTGTCGGTATTGTTTGTCAAGCTGCGGTTCGAGAACTATCAAAAAAAATGTGGTGCTTAAAGGTTAGTGATGAAGTTCTTATTATCAAAAAATTTTTAAAAAATGTTATGTTAGTGAAAATGGTTTTCCGCAAGTAAAGCGATACTTAGGATCAATTCCCAGTGACAAGTTAAGTCCCATTCGGCGGTAAACTTGACATTTTTGTACTGAAAATCGAGAGGTAACTGCTGAACGAAGGTCAATTCGTTGCTGTGAAAACAGCCCGAAAATTGTCGTTAACTGGTTACAGAATCTCCCCCTGAAAATATGCTTGGATATTGAAAAATAAATAATTAAAAAAAAAAACAAAAAAATAAAAATTTTAATCATCTGCCGGTTTTCAAATATTTTCGTTGTATTTTCGTATTAAATCACTAGCGGAAAGCCAGTTTAAAAATCTAGTCTCGAATGTAATGAAGAATCCTCAGTGTTGGCAAAATGTTAATCTGATTAACGATTAAAAATTAACGATTCAAATGTTAATCGCGATTAACGATTAAAATGAATTAATCGTAATCATCTGTGTGATTAATGATTAAATTTTTTTAATCGTTAATCGTCGGTTGTGATTACGATTAATTAATTTTAATCATCAATCGGTAATCCGATTAAAAAAAAATCTGATTAAGTGGTCTAGTTTGTCTGCATTTTAAATCAAACACCATATAGGGTTATTCTTTTCTGTTTGACGCTTATGAAAAACACATAATACTTATATAAACAAATAATAATTATAATTTGTATAACATAAACTGGGAAGTTTGACAACCCATGGCACATGTGCAGAGAGCTATAAAACCTAGTTTTCATAACGTCTGCTGGTAATAGATCACAATCAAAATGCATACCAAATTGCTTAGATTGATGAGGGAATACGACTTAGCCATACCGGACCTTGTGTGCAAAAGACAATTCCAGCATAAATTAATTAATCACCAAACCTACTTAATCAAATTAAGGGTTAATGGTTAAAAATAAATTTTTTTAATCACGGTTACGATTAACTATTTAATCAGATTAAATTAAATCATGATTAACTGTAATTCGATTGAATCTAATCAAATTAACTAATTGATTAAAAAATCAATCGATTAGTGCCAACACTGCCTCATACTAATTTTTTGTATTTTCCACAGATCTTTTTAGTAGCTTTACTTTACGTTGGCTTTGCAATGGGCGAAGCACCGTACGCCGCAGCAGGTTGGCGTCCGCAGCGGCCTTTTAACTTGCCCGCCGACTACTTGCCACCTTCACGTGGCGTAGAAAAGCAGCAACAACCCACTTACGTTTTGGAAATAAATAAAGAGCGTGTAGACTATGCCGGTCAGATTCAAAATAGTATCCTCAATTCAGCCAATAGACAACCAGCCAACCCGTATTTTCCACCGCGCAAGCAAAACACTGATTTTTTGAAAGTCCAACGTCCCCCTTACCAAGAGCCAGGACCACAATTTGTGCTAAAATCGGCATTCCCTCGGTCGCAGCAGCCACAAAAAACGCAAATTTTTCAAATATCAGAAACACAGAGCCGGCAACAACGCGGAGAACGCCTACCAACGCAACAACCATTTTTTGCATTCGAAGGCGAGCAGCGATCTGCGGTTTCTAAGCCGGCGCAAAATTATGGACCACCGAGTAGCGGGCAGGAGCAAAATTTTGCCGTTAATTATCCAGATTCGCGTAACTTAGAGCCCCAAGTGCCAGACGGCGAAGTAGATGAGGGCGTTCGCATAGCTATTGAAGCGCTAAATGTAGCTAGGGAGTCTTACAATCGTCAACAGGAAGGAGAAGTAATCAATGGAAGTGATGGCACATTAGAAGCAGATGTTCAAGAGGTTGATGATGCCGATGCAAAGCGACCAAGTGACGGTTACCCCTCATCACGTGCAACTCGCGGACAATATTATGTCTTAGGACCTGACAACCGCCTGCAACTGGTGCGTTTTTCAACCACACAGAGTGAGGAAGAAGCGCGAAACAATAGTGGTTTCACTGCACAGCTGCGGTACACGCCAGTCGGTGAAATTAATGACCCCGTTTTTAAATATAATGGGCAGGGACAGCTGGTCAGGATTGTTAAGAAGTAGATTGTGAAACAAAGAGCATAAATATGTATGTAATAATTATAATTATAATTTAAGTTTGTATCTTTGAGGTTAATAAATGTATTATGTGAGCACACATACCTTTTTGTCTCGGTTGGATTTGTTTTTTGGCAGCATCGTAGTTACACTTAAACATTAACATTAAAGAACATTTCACACACTTTAGGCTTATTTGCATATGAACTTATTACGCACTTAAAATGCGAAATGCATATATTTGTATTGCATTATTATCAGAGCACTATTTTACTTTTCCAAGGTGCTGCTGCATCTGGACACACACATTCACTTTTGCATTTGGACAAAGAAAACGAGGATGTTAAATATATCTCGTTTTACACACACACTGAATTAAATTTAACACTTTAATCATTTCTCATATCTAATATTTCGTGAAATTTATTAATTGAAAATTTAACTTTAGCACCGATAAAAACTGGAATTTTCACTGATTTCAACTGTCAAGTTTGGGCGGAAAAGGATACTGTAGACAAAGGAAAAACAGAAAAGCACAAGCGCGTCTATTGTCAGGGCTGCCAAACCCAAAGTTTAGTGCAAATTTTTAAGATACGCTTAGTGTTGGATTAAAGTTTTGGAAAAGACGAGTTTTGCGAAATTTAATTAGCCTAAAATACAATGAAAGTTTAAATTGATTTGAAATTTATTCTTTTGTCATCTACAGAAATCCACTACTTTTCTTGCATTCTTATTTGCTTCCCTTGTACGTTCTACCACACCTGACATTCGCAAATGCAACACTGTTTTTCATCGCTTGACTGCGTGCTGCACGAATTTTCACGAGCACCAATTTCTGTAATTTAAGTATAAATAAAAGTGTTTATTTAATTAAAACTATTGTAAAAATGTAGTGTTAACACAGTTAAACAAAATAAAGGTGAATGCAAAGTCAAAATTTTAATTTTTAAGGGGACAGAAAGCCTGGAAGTTGTGGCACGTTCTACTGAAAAATTTGCAGTCGTTTAGTACACCATTGTTTGTATGTGAGTTTGTGTAAATGTTTATTTGCGGCAATAATAAAAGCAATTGATAAATAAACAAAAAAAAAGCAGAACAAAAACCACACAAAAGGTAAAAAAAGAAAAAGCAGAACAAAAACACAAAAGGTAAAAACATGCCAGTGATTGAAGTTTGCCGCGCGCATTTTTATTGTTGGTATTTTTTACGTGAGTGTTTGGGTAAATGGTTTAATATAAATGTTTACATTTGATTTCGCGACTCATAAATATTTGTAAGTGTAGGTTGATGGTGGTGCCGAGTTTAAAATTATGAAGTTAAAGCGAACTGTAGGCCCTAAAATTGTAAATTTTCATGTGCCAATGCAGCTGCTGAATGCGAAGAACTGTATAACGTATTTTTTGCATGACCACAGCTATACACCTATATATAGAATAAATCCGCATTTTCCTCCGCAACCAACGCTTATCTTTAACCAGCATGTAAAACATGCTTCCATTACATTTAAATACATTATTTAAAAATAAAACTGTTTTCGTATTCCAGAAAATCACCATATCCGCAAATGAGCATTCAAGTAACTTTCAGAACGTACCAATAACAGGCCATGAACAAACTTGACGGCTGAGGTTATCAAATATCAAATAGGGAAAAGCCACCACGATAAAGAAGCCAGTAATGCTTAGCAGTATGAATCGAGTACTAATTCTGGTTTTGCTACTTAGCTGTGACGCACTGGTGCTCGGTAACTTTGACGAGAATGCAGCAGTCACAGTTCCTGCAACAGCAAATAACAGCCGCACTAAGAGCAATGTTCCTGTATCTTTAAGTAATATTAGTCTTAATGTAAATCTAAATGCAACCACTCAATTGCCGCTGGTAGCCAAGGACTTTATCACTGCCAATGTAAATGCGCTTCCATTGCTGGTGCCAGCCTCGGTAGCCGGAGTTTCCGCTGCACCACAAAAAGTGCCTTTGAGACGCAATGCAACGGAGCCTAGCAATATTGGATCTATCGGAGTCTCTTCGTCTTTTGGTCAAACAACAGCCAGCGTGTTTTTTTGCAAATTACAATAATCAACAAAATGTGCTGGAAGTGGTGCGTAATATTGACGCGCGATTGCGGATTATACGCAATGTAGAAATGCGCGTTGCCACAATACAGGTGAACCCAAACTATTACTATTGCCAAAGTGGTAAACTAATCAGTTTTAAAATTTTTCAGGAGCTATTTGATTCCGTGCATTTTAGCAGCAATGGCGTAGCGGCTAGCATAGGCGCTTTAAAAAATAATAGTGAATCATTCTACAAGTCTGCGTCGGCAACACTGCAACATGACCTTCAGATATTCAGCAAACGACTTGCGAAGAAGCTGCAAAAGTCAACGCACGTGGTGCTGGAATTGCGAGATTTTTTTCGCTTCAACATTACAAAAGTGCTGCTGCAACAGCATCTCCAAGCAGCTGAATATGGGGACATAAACGACGAAGCCGAATCGGAGGAAGAAGATGCTGATGCAGATGACGAAGATGAAGATGACCGGAGTGAAGATGAGAGCGAGGAAGACGAATTCGATTTAGCAATCGATGATTTAGATGGTTTAATTGCTACTGGGCATGGAGTACGCAATCTGCATATGTATTTGCACACTTGCATACAGACATTTCAACCAACTGCCAGCGAAACTAAAAGAATTATCGCAACCGAATTGAATTACAACAGACAGCAAATACAAATATTAAACTATCTTAAGACTGATTCAACAGTAACACCGGCTCATAAATCAAAGTACTATCAACAGTTTGATAGGAACAATTATTTCATGGATGAAGGTTCCTTTGAGGCGCGCGCCAATGCGTACATACTCGAGAAATTACAAGCACTTAAGAGTGCACTAATGAAAAGCGATTTCTTAATTGAAGCTCCTAAAATGTCTGCAAACGTACGCAGTACGGCCTCAACCACATCTGCAACTAACTCGAAACTAAAATTCCTAGGAAACCACTTTAAACATATCTATTTTCTATCGCGTAGTGATAATGCTGAAGATATGCGAACACACTATTATGCAGAGACTTACTTCCAACAATTATATGTTTCATCTATAAAGAATAAGTATGTTTTTCTACTACTGGATGTGGGATCTGCAATGAATATGGAGTTATTAGAGCTTACGAAGGCCTTAGGTAAACGAATACATATTTGTTAAGGTTATCGTTTGAAAGCAATTTCTAAACATTTATGTCACTTTCAGTTACCAGTATTCTGCAACTGCTGTCGCCAACCGATCTTATTTCCGTGACAACAGTTTCCGATGAAGCACACATAGTGCAATTCGATTCCTACCCTAATGAGGCATCAAATAGTGTATTTTACGCGACACGCGCCCGTAAAGAGGAGATTCTTAACTACATACACTCGCTTGTTGTGACGAAAGGCCAAACGAATCACTCTCTGGGCTT